AGGGATCCCACCGGACCGGGCGGCCCATTGTAGTTGCTTATCACGGAGGAGAGGCGGGGGCAGAATTGGTGAGGTCGATACTAGGTTATGGGTGAAGGAGGATTGGAGCAATCACGATCGGAAGAGGTACTGCGTGGAGACACAGTAGGAGCCAGTGTGCATGAGGGGACGGGGACGTAGTCGGGATTTCACCGCGACGGCATAATATTGTACATAAAGCGTCAGGGTCAACGAGAGGGAATCCTACGAGATTAGGCAAATAAGTCTGTTAGGTATGGATGAGGAGGAAACATCCACGATGTATTGTGACATGAAATATCGGGTAGCGAGAACCAGGAGCCATGAAGGTCCGGATCATGATTGATTGGTAGCGGGAGAATCTGGCCAAGAAGCCAGCGCCAGGGGACGCAAACGGTACGTAAGTTGAAAGATCTGGGTGCAAGGGACGTCGGCGCAAAAGTCTCCAGAGCGTACTAGTAGAGATCAAGACCACCAGTTTGGACGGGAGATAATCCAGATCTTTGAGCGCTGGGTCGTCACGTCGAGAGTTAAGAGGAGTCGTTTAAAATATCAGGATTAATGCTGCCAGTGACGGGTAGGGTTGGGACGTCAAAGGCCAGGGGGTGGGCAAAGTCAGATGGGACGGAGCAGAATCAGACGATAGCAGGAAGTAGCAAAGGGTCACAGGGATAGTCAGGACGCAAGGAGAAGAAAGAGGAGAATCTCCTGACGCAAGGAGAGGGAAGGGTGGAATCTCCGGACGGGAGGAGAAGAGAGCGTGGAATCTCCGGACCCAGGGGACGTCGGCATCCACGTCCGGTAGGATCAGGACGGGTTGCGCAAGAGGAAGGCAAATCTGGACGCGACGTCCGCAGGACGTCGCGTCCAGATTAACGGTTTGCGTTTGGGCGTCCCGTGCGTCAGATGCACGGGACGCACGGGACGCAAAGTGAAATTTTTGCTGATGTTGTTATAAGGATGATTATGCAAGGATTCACTGGTTGCCACCAGATGTATTGTGGCTTACTAAAATGTGAACGTATTTTTGCCCCCCGCTGTATTCAAGTTAGAAATAAATTAAATAAACAATTAAAAGGTAAAAAGTTTAAATCTAAAAATTATAAATAAATAACTTGAATTAAAACTCTACTTGTCCATATCAGCTTTTCCATAAAGAATTGCCCTCCAAAACATTACCGTTGCCTCTTGAGCAAACTTCCTATCAATATTTTAAGACCTGTATGCTTCTCCAGCCCAACAAAGTACCCCATGGACTCTGCGAGATCGCAGGTTTCCAGTTTCAAAATAGGATTCATCGGTGAAGATGACATTCCTCCTGTCATAGTTTTCATACTGGTAACAAAAGGCAAGTCTCCTTGCCATTTGTACTGGATTGAGGGTTGGTTTTCGAACTGGCTTTCGAAGATAAATTTTGTTTTCATGTAGCACTTTCGAAATTGTTTGTCTGCTTACTTCGAGTTCCACTTATTTTTTAAAATAATAATACTAATATTGTTAGTTACCTTTTTAATATTATTTAATTAAAAAAAAAGAAAAGACTAGTACCTGCTTCTACTAACTGTGTAAAGGTCATACGGCAGTGGTCTGCATCTTGCAGAGTTACCTCCACCAGATGGTCCTTTTGTGCCTGAGTTAAGGCTTCATTGGAACCTTTTACTGAGTTTGGTAGTGGACTGAGATTCTCATAGGCACAAAGGTCTGGGTTTTAATTTTCGCTGGCTCGCTGGTGTGCAGTTCTGATGATATTTGAGCAGGTACTGATTAACACTCCTGTTTTTGCTGAAATATCCTTCAAACTCATCTTTTGAGCTCCATCTAGCATCGCATATCCAACAACCTGCCCTCGTTTTGCCATAGATGTTGTCTTGCCTCGTGGTGTTGTCATTTTTCCAAATTTTATTTTTGTTGATATTCACGTAACAATCAGAATTCCCAATCCAGGTATATATTCTCTGATTCAAGTTCCCCCTATTCTACATATTTTTTATCTTAATAATACCCTGAATTATACTAATTAATTGACTAGACCTATTCAGATTAAATATGGGCCAGAATACACCCCTGTGCGCCACCATGCAAGCCCAGTCCATTTCACAAACATCTCGACAGGACAGGTATTGCTGGAAAAACGCCTTCGGCATCTTCCGTTTACCAGCGTGGAAGTGTCTGTTGGCTTCTATGGTTGGGTGGTGTGCCGAGCCAGCACCTGTGCAAAAAGGTTGACCATATGACGTGATATGCAATCGGATAAGAGAATGGAAATTCGCTGAGAAAGTTGACAGTAAAACACAGTAAAGAAGATGGTTGAAAAAGGTGGAAAACAGAACTTAAATTCAGCAGAAAAGAAAGGTGGTGTTGTTGCTCTTACAGGTGGGGTTTTTTGTGTCTTCGTTCCCTCTCTCTCAGAGGAAGGCAAGGCCATGCCCCCAAGTAAAAATTTTCCACCTGCTGAGCCTCTTTCAAAACAGAAGGAGATTCTACGAGCAAAACCTCTATGTATCAATATCCCATGTCAGGGTGCCGACCCTCATCCTGCCAGAGCCCTCAATCACCATCGAGAGTGGGGCATGAGGCCAGTTGGTATATGAAATTTATAACAGCCAATAGCAAAAACTTTCGACAGACATCATATGCAAGCTTACTCGCCCTTACCTACTGTGGTAGCAACTTGCCTTTTACTCTGCCGGTCAGATGTGGGCAGTGGACTAGGTTCACCATGTGAAGCGCACAGCAAGGCGCAAAACGGGCCACTGATGAGTGACGTGTACAGGTATCGTGCAAAAGAGACCTGGCTTGAGAAGATATGATACCTCACAACCACGCTGCCCGCGACTTCTGAGCTCCACACCAAGGAAGCCTTTTAGAGGGTATGGATCTCTGGTTCAAAAAAGAGTGGGAATTTTTATCCTTTGGACGATTGATGCTCCCAAGCCTGCTATCCTGGTCGCGCACCCTCCCATCCACAAGCGAAGAGCCTTCCCCATCACGCCAGTAGCTGCTTCTCGAAAAGCCTTGCACGGACCGTGCTTGGGGTGGGTAACGTTCATACCGTTGTCCAAAAGTTAAGATATACCAGGGCAAGCTCATCCTTGCGTTCGAGAACCCGGCCGAGGGTGGAGGGCCGTGGGGAGTGACAGGCAAGACCCTGTGGGGTAGTAAGCAGGCAGTCCGTGGAAATGGAAAACAATGAGTTCTGGGGGACACAGCAGGACAGAGGCGGGGGTTATTCTGAGCCTCAATGCCAAGAGTTTTCACGCAAGACTAAACCGAGCGAACCGCTAACCCCTCAAAGACTCCTATATTCATCCAGAGAGTATTCTGTCAAGACATTGTAACAACCTGAGGGTCTGTGGGAATTTCTCATACGCATATGGTATTATATTAGAGGTAGTTGGTTCCATCATATCTCTTCCGAGATACTTGGCTGCGTAAGTACTGGATAACCCGCAAAAGCGTTTTTACCTTGCCGGTCAGTTACCGGGAGGGTGGGTGGATTGTAAGGCTGCCTCTCTAAAGGTAGGGTACAACTATCGCGCCTGCTAAACTACTATCTCGGTAGACGTAACACCACCTGTGCGTGTTTGATAACTTGTATAATGTGATACCAACCCAATGGTAAAAGTTTCGACGGGTGAAAAATTCCCGGATTTCTTCTCCATTGTTTGATACTCGAGTAGTCGTTCATACCAATTGCTACACCAGGAAAGAAATGCCACGTCCAGTGGCTAAGCTACAGAGGGGCTATGAGGTGCAGTTCTAATGCGTCTTCAGACACCGACGGTCGCATGGCTGTAGGGTAAGATGCTCACGACTTTCTAGCGCAGATATGGCACCTTCACCATAGGATCCGCTCAGAGTACTCCAGAACCAGATTGGAACGCTGGAGGGTGGGCTGTATAGCGGGTGCTTAGTTTCTGCGGCCAACACAAGACCCGCACGGGCACAACAGAAGAGCTCTGATTAGCCTTACAGGACGTTATATTAGGGCGAACGATGTGTATGCAGCTGACCCCGGCCATGTGCTCCCCACTGCGTGCAAGGATACTGCAGGAAATTCAAGGGTCCAAACCTGACTCATCCTCAGAACTGCCCTTGTTGCCAATTCCGACAAGTGATAATAAGGTGGTGGAGCGCAGCACACTACTTCAATCAGAGCCCTCATTGTGCTCGAACCCTCCATACCAGATCAGTCACCAACTCACCCTGAAATCCCTTCCACAATACAATTATTCCCGTGCCAACCCTAAATTTACTCGCAAGAGAAGCACAAATAAGGGAGAGGAGAAGGCTCAGCGAGAGATTAACCCTGCGAAGAAAAGGAATACGGCGCAGCCAGAACAGGTAGGGCTAATGCCAAAGAGCATTTCTCAGCAAGCCATCCGCTGACTTTATGCGTTTCTAGTAAAAGAACTCTACCCACGCGAAACCAAGAACAGGTCCTTAATCCGAACAGTCGAGGGACCAACACAGAAGCCAAAGGCGGTGTTCGACCTGGAATGTGTTCACCCGTAGAGGCCTGGAACAAAGATTGCTTCGACGGCATAAGGTATTGGGAAGTTTAAGCGCGGTCCCAGCTACGATAGGTAATTATTGAGCAAATTCAATCTCTATTTTAGGTAGCACTAAATTTAGTCTAGTCAGTAATCGAGGCCCAGGAAGCGCATCTAATACGTTACAATATATATCAACAAGCGGCGTTAAATCACAAGATCTCTGAATGACATAGTGTCAGACTGTGGTGAAAGCACCAGGACGAAGATTCCAAACGCCGCCGCAATTTTCGGACATAAGATGGCTGAGACACCGGGTGAGAGGTATGTGGGAGGTTCTAGGAGTGGGCCATCCGGTCAAGATCCTGGAGTCACTGTGGGCCGGCAGGATCTGGGCGACACAATCGAAGCCAGCGATGCACTCTTTTCTCAATATGAAAAAACCCTCGACATAGACTTCCTCAATCATGCAATTGCGCTAGCCGAAAGCGCAATTACAAGAACAGACCCCCGCCATCCCAACCGAGATGTTTTGTCGGCTAGGCTGCGCAAAATGCAGGGGAACAAATTCGAACATACAGGGGATGAAGGAGACCTTGACATAGCATGGGTATGGGCGATGGACGGAATGGACAAAACATCACGGAACACGATCGACTATGCAACCGCATGCAGCAGTATCCTCACCATGCGGCATGAATTAAAGAGTTTATACGGCCGGTACAGATTCCCTGGTGGGGATTCGTACAGGAGATATGAGCGGCTAGGTAACATGACCGACCTCAACCAAGCAATTGTCCAGGTGGAAAAGGCGATCCAAGAATATACTCCAGGAAACCTCGTTCGGTCAGACATGCTGACCATCTTGAGCCTCTGGTTGTTGGAAAGGTTTGACGGGCTTGGTGACATGAATGATCTGGAACTGGCTGCGAGGACAAATGAAGAAATAGTGACACAGGGCCCTAGAGGTGGCCTAGAATATGTCACGGCACTTGTAGTCTCCGGAAGTATATTTTTCAAAAGGTTTAAGCGGATAGGAGACCTTGGAGACCTTCAAAAAGCTATCGAGCACGGCGAAGAGGCACTGGCTGCCACCCCGCAGGATCCCCCCAACAGAGCAATCTGGCAGAGCAAGCTGGCAGCCTGGTTGGAGGCGAGGTTTGAGCGGATAGGAGACCTTGGAGACCTTCAAAAAGCTATCGAGCATGGCGAAGAGGGACTAGCTGCCACCCCGCAGGATCACCCCAGCAGAGCAACAAGGAAAATCTACCTGGGAACCTGGTTGGTGATGAGGTTTGAGCGGATAGGAGACCTTGAAGACCTTCAAAAAGCTATCGAGCACGGCGAAGAGGCACTGGCTGCCACCCCTCAGGATCACCCC